GGGAGGACATAATGGCACATGCTCAACTGAAGAAATACAGTAGTCAGTCAGTTTGAGTGTCAAACAAAGACTAAATCAGACACCAGTAATTTACTTTGTGTGTAAACACATCTTAACATGGCGTGTCGTAGCAACTGGAAATGCATGAATCCATATGTAAAAAAACTTGCCTGGTTGTTATGATAGAGAGAGAGACACAAGACGTGACAGAGTAGACAGCAAAGAGATATGGAAACCAAAAGGGAGATAATAGAAAAACGATGAGACATTAAGAAGTTTCTGGAAAAACCTCAGGCAGAGGCCGATCAAGGCTCGAAGCACATGTCGAACTTGCAAGTCGAGTTTGATGTTGCCAGCTTGTAAAACCCACTAGGGGCTAAATTCGGGACTCTTTGCTCTTGCCCCTCTCTCATTCACCAGCACATGGCTGGGTGCATTGAGTGGGGGTGGTGGTATCAGAGGCGCTGTCAGCACGCCACTCTACAAAACCATTTTTCCTGAAGGGAGGTCAGGAACCAGCCAAGAGAAGTGGCAATTCTAGGAACTTTTTTAAGGAGGGGCCACGAACGAGCCAGGATTCTTTATAAGGGTCCAAAACTAGAGTTCAAAGAATTATTTCTCTTTATTTATTACTCTTATCAAGCATGCAAGACTTGGTTGACCACCAAAACTGTCTACATCAGATAAACAGTACTCAAAGCTTTCATCTTTGAAAGAGAGGAGACAATCAATCTCTTGCTTCAGATCTGAAAAAAATTCTGCATTTCTGTCCATGCTTCCACTCTGAAAAGACAACACCACAATGCTATGGTGTCACTGAGAAAAGGAAAATCCAGACCTCTTCATCACTGTTTTTGGCTGTTACTTTTTTTTGCAGGAAACAGAAAATGCAACTTCTTGAATTTTGGAGGTGTGGAAAAATATTCCAGCAAAGTTCTTTGAAAAACTGAAACGAAGTTTCCAGAAGTGAATGGAAGATGTAAACCAAAAAAAGTATAGTGATGCTGCTTTGTATTAGAAATTTAATTTTATTTGGAAGAAATATTACTTTTAGTTGAAATAACAAGTTTATCATCTCTCTCACGCACGCACGCACGCACGCACACACACACACACACACACACACACACTCACACACACACACAGACACAGACACAGACACAGACACAGACACAGACACACACACACACACACACACAATCTAAGCCCAGCCCAGCGGTCACTGGGCGGAAGGAACAAGTTTAACAAATTATAAAATTAATTTTTGCATGTATTTTTTCAACCTTCTATAAACAAAAGAGATTAAAGAAATCAGCAGAAATTTCCTAAAAGAAAACTAAGGCTTGGTCAATTATTAACCATATTAGATGTATTTTCATGCAACAATGACTAATACACAACTAATTACAATGACTAAAGTTGACATTGGCTTAAAAAAAAAAACCTCCCATACCCCCAAATTTACCAGTTGACCATCAGAACGCAAACAACTGGTAATTAGGTCAAGTGACAAGCTGAGTTTACAAGGACCACCAGAATGCATCTAGATTTTCACTAGAGTGCCTCTGTGGCCCAACCCTGGCTCCATCCTTGGGTGACTGTTTCTTGGGATTTCTGCTTCCTACAAAGGAGCATGTCTTACTGGCACAGTTTTTACTGCCACTTAAATCATTGCCACCAACCCCTGAGGCCTTGACAAACCTCCTCAGGCATTCCGGCCACGCTACGGAATGAGAATGCGTATGCCATGCTGACTCTCCAATCATGTATTGGACCAGGCACTGACATGCAGGACAGTGGAGGAAAGCTCTGGAGTGATGCTAGATTGCTCAGGAGCCCTGGAAGCACTGATAGGTCAATTCATCATGCCAGTTTGCCCTTGTGAAGCAAGTTATGGGACTCCAGGCTTTTTTGAGCTTTATTACGGTAAGAGCATTGGGTCAGGTTCTGTCAGAGACCTACAAAACTGTCCCGATACTTTATTAAGATAGTAACATCCCAGGGACGGCATCCCTGCAGTACCGTATCACCAATCATTAAGCACTGTTACTTTCATGTGGACACTGAAATGCACTTCAATGAGAAGATGACAGAAAAGCTCAGTTATTGTGTCCAGCACCCTCAGGTCTTAATAATTACACTTCTGTTTTTAAATGGCTGCATTCATCTCTTCCTTTCATTTAATCGAAAACCCTCACTTTTCAAAGCATGCTCTAAATAACCACTTGCTGTTAACACCAATCATTCTGTCAGTCACAAAATCTGTATCTTGAATGTATCCAATTTCTTTTGCCTATATAGATTGTCAGCATCCTCTTCTATTAAATTCAAGCTTGGGAATGAACATCACAGTCGTCTTATTATTTGAGCCTCTATCACTATTCTTATGCCAGAATTTATTAAAGATTGTCTACACACATACACAAAGATTATAATACAGTCATTCTGATTTAGGATTGAGGTTGTTTCATGTTTGTAATGGTTGTAAGAGCCAATTCACTGAGCCTGAGGATATACTGGCACAGAGGACTTTATATTGTGCTCCTGGTTTGTAAGTGTCTTGTAACAAGGAAGCCTGTGTGGGAGTTGTAAGTGTCAACGATTAAAGCATGCAATGTACCTTTTGTCTACTCATTTTTTGTGTACTTTTGCCAAGACTGTCCCACTGTTAGATAGTTCCATAGTCCACACGACTATCCACGTGCCAGGCCACATCACAGCAGCACTAATCTCAGAGTGGGAAGGTGTGCATGGGGGGCCTGAGGGGCCTACCCATTTGGAAGCCAGGTTCTTCCTAGGTTTCACGCTTAACAGCAGAGTTTTTGCATCTTGCACCCTCATCTATTCTACCTTAATTAAATGAATGAGACATACAAAACTCTGTTTAGCTCATCACACATTTTCAGCAGATGCTATCTCCATAGCAACATTTACACTGCTGCATACCGCCATTGGTTAAGTAATGCCACTGTTTTACACCAATCCCACAAAAAAAGCATGGAAAAATGCTTTGACCTCTTTTCTCCCCAACACTAACATGTAAATATAACAATAGCATGCTCCACTGTTTCTCTCAATGACGGGAACCTAGCTGAACTGAGCCGTGCTAGCTCATATAGGCTACTCACCAAGCTAGTTGGTTAGGAATTGTAGACTGATGTAAAGAAAGTAATGGGGGGAAAAAAAAAAAATAAAATCACAATCTTCAACCATTTGCTCTGGACATCTGTGTCTAGTGCCATACAAAGTAGGCTTACTTATACTTTATTGTTAATTGTATGCTGTCTGCTGTCAGTAGACCTAAAATGTGAGGTACGGAATTGTTTATTGTTCAAAAGTGTTTTACTCTCGTTATGGAAACAAATGACTAGTTTTTTGTTTGTTTTTTTCTTTGTAACTACAGTAAAAGACTCGTCAGTATAGCTCTGGGATATAATGCTTGCTATCTGCCCTCTCCAACCTGTAACCAGGTTGCTAACCTAAAACGAAATGCAGCCTACGCCACTGAAACACACACAAAGACCTCCAAAGCACAGTGTGTACCACAGCATGTTTTCCAGTAAATTAGTCCCTTGGACGTCTACAGTTATTAGTGCCATTTTAACATCACACAGTTATTTGTATTGTTGTCACAGTCACATTAAAATCTGTTAAATCAACATCTTAATACAACAACTTAATATTTTTATATTAACGTACATTACAAGTGAACAACCTTTGGTCCTGTAAAATTACCATTTTGAAGATTTTGTTATGACAGGAAGCATGAAATTAGATACTTTTATACACAGTAAAGAGCTTAAGTTGTTCATCTACGCTATAATTTTGCTTTGATTCATCAAAATTGTAAATAGTTTAATAGTTAAATAGTTTACAGTTTTACTGCTTGGTACCACATGAAATAATTGTAATTAATTACCAAGTTATTATATTATGAATTGCATTTTCAGTTTACGTTCTGTAATAACATTTTCATGCTTGTGTTTTTGCCAAAAAATGCCAAAAACATGGCAAAAATGTCTTGCAAATCAAAAGTATATTAACAAAAACCATCAAATTCAAATTATAATAAAATACATTATCAAATTTCATGATACAAATTTCATACTGATTAAAAAGCTAATCTGCACTTACAACATTTTTATTTATTTATTCATTTAAATCTTTGGCGATACTGTGACTTCTAAATAGTTCAGTGTATTTGGACTCTGCCTACATAACCCACTCAAATGCCCTATACTTTCTACTACAGTCTTTTATCACTGACTTCCAAGTAGAGATGACTACCATAAGCAACAGCAAATAGCCCACTTTCTCTGCATTTTAGTGCAGGTTCCTATTAAGTAACACTTTCCTTCCTCTCATCGACAGAAGCAACAACAGGACAACAGTAAGGCAGATGTGCATTATATAAAATCTAAGCCGTGGTCTAACCATCTGCACCTATTCTATACACCACACTATTATTTGCATCCCACTGTGAATTACAGATACATTTCCTTTCCTACCAATGCTGAAAGCATGGCAATCATGAATCCCTTTGGACAACATGCATCGATGAACCTTGATGCACAGGAACAATTTCTCTTTAGGGCTAAAACCAAACTTAATATCCTTCCTGCCGTAACACGTTTGTGACTGCTCTTGATGCATGTTTGGATTTACTCAAAATGCGAAGCTCAAAAAATGAACGGAGCACAGTACATGACGAATGTGTTCAGTGAGAGTTTCTCACCTCAGCAGCTCAGTGTTTGTGGTCTGTACTTTGGAGGATAAACACATCTGTGCACTGTACCCACATCCACGCCCTTGTAGGCAGACGCGTTAAATATGAACGGAAACAGATGCTGACCTCTTTGCCTTTGCTTCAGCATAAATTCTGCCGTTTGCCTAGAAGTACACCAAACCTTGGCTTTTTTGTTTTTGTAATGCCATCCCACCTCCCCCATCCTAATCTCTCTCCTTCTCTCTCCCATTGTCCTACTTTTTCCTACATTCAGGTGTTTTCTATCTGGATTACACTAATCTCTGGGGCCATGGCTGAGTTGACGTGCGAAGCCCTGCTCCTGATGTCCACCAACCTCACAGGTGAGTGCGCTTTTTGTGGGTTTTATTTTAACTGGTGAGCTGAGACCAACTTTGCTTTTTTTTGGTGCCTGAAAAGTAATAGTAAGGACACAGGCTGTTGCTACTGGATACTGATGTAAAGCTGCCCATACTCTTAAGAACAAAGATGCTTTAAAAGGCTCTTTGGAGCAATGCATTGGACAAACAACTGATTCCCTAAAGAACTGATGCCCTGAAGAGTTATTTAAAAGACAGTTCAATAGCACTTTACAAGTAATAAGTTGGTTATAATATGGTAATATTAAAGTAACACGTTGTACTAACCTACCATTACATGCTAATTTTTAAGTTTTTGGTAAATAATTATTATTGGTAATTATTAGTTTTATTGTCAGTATTAAGGTGATAATAAAATGGTAAAATAAAGGGAACAAGTTATACTAACCTAAGTTGTTAGTAAATAATAAGTTGATAATTGTAGTAGTAACAAATTGTTAATAAAGAGTAAAGTAATGGTAACAAGCTAAACAAATCTAAAAATGGCATGCTACATTTCTAATTGTTAATAACTGTGGTGGTATATAGTTGGTATTAAAGTGGAAAAAACTAGTTACCCATAAATAAAATTATTATTTTCCATTAATTTAATTAATAATTTAAGTAACTGTTACAGTAAAAGTGGTAATGCTAAACAATTAGCTTTTTTTATATTTATAGGAATAAGGTGTCCATGCAGTAATAACAAAAAATGCTGTAAAACACTAATTCTTGCCTGTTATGTCTTTAAATGGTCAGGTACAGTATGAGGTACAGACACAGTTACAGGCTTTAATTACAGAAAATGCAACATCACGTCACTGCTGTGTTACCTGTTAACAAAATTTTTTTATTATTATTATTTACTATTATTATTTACACCTAAAAATGTACTACATTATTTTTGCATGTAAAAACAGCATGTAAACTTTAGGTTAGTACAACTTATACTACACTATACTAATACAATAATACCAAACAATTACCAACTTATTGATCTATAAAGTGCTATCGATAGTTCTATAAAGATCTGTTTTTGTAAAGAGGTGTGATTGTGACAAACCTTTTTTACATAGTGCCTGCACATCATGTAATCTCCACATAGATTCTGTACCAGTTAAATCAGCCAAATGTCTAACTGGTGATACATACAAAAATACTGCTGATGTCCCTTTTAAGCCACTAACGTGGCTTTTTCAAAAAGGTTTGTGACACAAAATAATCTAAGAATTTTTGGCTTTGTTGGATCATGTTCTTTAAACATGCATTGAGACATCATGTTGTTAACAGCAAAGAGTAGACTGTTTTGTTGTGTTTTTCCTAGAAGTATTTACCAAGCCAAGCCTCCCCATATAGTGTGCTTATGTGTAAAGTATAACCAGCAAGGACTCATATTTATTAGTCAGAAAATGACCTCTTGTCCCAGTTTCTGCAAGCGCTTTGAAAAATGCATGAGATTCATTTGGCTTACAGCTATATCATCATTTGCTGGACAAAAGCTTTTTTGGTCTGCCTTAAATGATGAAGCATAAAGACAGATGGGGAATGTAGTTCAGCTACACATAATTCTTCCACACTTCTTTACAGTAGACTACTAAAGGGCACATATTCTCAATGCAGTATGCTCTTAAAAATAAAAGGTGCCTAAAAGGGTCCTTTGGAACGATGCCATAGAAAGACAGCAAAAACACTGGTTCCCTGAAGAGCTTTTCAACCTTTCAGTGAACCATTTTGTAAATGAGATGTGTAAATGGGCAGATTTAAAAAACCTCCACATAAGGTAAAGGTTCTGTACCAGTTAAAAGGCTTGCCCTAGAACTGCAGGACCAAGCCAAGAAACCATGTAGGAACCATTGTTTTTAAGAGTGTACAGAATCAAACTGTTCACTGAAAGCTAAAACACCCCAGTATGGGGGACATGTATTTCAAATGTACTCATAGGCTGCTTTGCTTGCTTGTTTGTTTTGTTTTCTTTGTAAGTATAGCATTAAGATGCACAGTAAGTGATACCATTGACTAATATAGTGAATATATTGGCTCCAAACATGAGCTTTCAGCACAGCCAAAGTTTAAAGCACCACAGAGATCACTGATAAAGAGAAGTACGAGTTATGACTAGAAGATGATAACAGTTTGTTGTTTCAGTATTGCCCTGATAACTTTGAGAATTTATTAGGGTTTATTCTGGACACAGTAAAACGGGTGGAGTGAATCAAACAGCAACATAATGCCAAAATTGTAGAGAGCACATTCCCTAAAACCGGTCACAGGAGTGTACATTATTATAGAGGGTTGAAGTAGTGCAACTAAAAGTAGTGCTCTTAGCTGTTTCTTAAGGCATTAAAGTCTACCCTGTCTACTCTTTTTGATGATATTCTTCTATTATCTATAGTTTTGTGGTGTGTTTTACTAGAAACTGGCAGAAAAAAACATGCTGTTGGTTTTTTCTGTTGAGAGATTTTTGAAATTACTTTTTCGCCTATTTTCTTTGTGTTGGTTGGGATTAAATTTGGTGCAGGTGACATCAAATCTGCCAAACTACCATTTAGAGTTAGCAATATGTATGCATCAGCTCCTCACGTTCCCCTTCTCCACATCTCACTAGCCAAGCCTCCTAGGCAAAACTCCCAGCAAAAAGAGTTGAGCTAGAAAATTAAGCTTTTCTAAATTTGTTTATAGTGCTTGCTATAAATAACTATTACACTGTTGTTTGTATTATAGCTAGATGCTGCTTTCTATTTGCATTGGTAAGTTATTGCTGGGTCCTAGTATAAGCAATCAACTTCACTTACAAGAGTGTGATAAATAGCGACCCACCTTAAATGTAGGAATAAAAAGCTAATATGTCAGCTAACCCACTTGCATCAAGTCTCACAGTTTTTCCCCTATACTTTTGTACAGGTGTAGCGCACATTGAGGCATGCAAGAAATTTCTCCATTGTGTCTGCAAACATGAATGTGCTGAATCATAACAGGAGCTTGTGCGAACTCTGTTTCAGCAGCATGGTCTTGTAGTCAGCTAGCTAGCTATAGATTATGGACATAGTATTAGTGCTGCTGAGCATCCAAATCTCAGACACTATTTGTTCCTGATATACCAGTCATAAAATGAAAGCCTGAGTTCTACATAAGCTGCAAAATGCGGTCTCTAAAATGACCTTTAGACAGCTTGTTCTCCATTTTGCACTTTTTACTCACTATTCAGAAAGCGGTTGAAATAGTCAATTTTCCTGCTGGGAAGAGCTCGAAAGTGTTGGGCTGAACCAAACCGATTGGTGGTGTCACTCAGCACTACCACTGCAGCCCGGTTGTTTACATTGCCTGAGAGATGCCAAAGTCAATCATTTTGTGTTCTGACACACCCACACAGTTATGAGCAGGCAGCAGCCCAGCATTTCTGGAGCATTACCTACTAATACATTGCATTAGTTTATATATATTACTTTAACAGAGCACTGGTAAGCGCTTTTTCTGCAGCATATCTTTACTATCCAAACTAAATTTAAACGTTTGAAACCATGTTGACAGGGGCTTTAAGCATTAGTATGTGTACAATATTGTGCAAAAGTCAGACACCGCCCTTCATTTATTTCACTTGCACTCAAAACATTTAAGCACAAGTTATTCATTTTTCAGGAGATATTTCTGAGAAGGTTAGATATAAGATAGTCCACTTGCAAAAGGAAGAAAAAGGTCAAAGGGAAATAAGTGAAAAAACAGGAGTTTCCAAAACTGGAGTTCAAAAAATGGTTAAAAGAGAAAATGGGACTCCCAACGACCATGCAAGACCTGGGAGAGCACCAAAACTGTCACCATCAGAAACAGTGCTGTAATCTTTGAAAGAGAGAAGAAAAATCAAGCTCCATTCTTGCTCAAGACCTGGAGACCTTCTAAAACTGAACTTTGGAGGTATGGAAAAAAATCTCTGCAACTTTATTTGAAAAACTCAAACTAAAATGAGAACTGTCTCCTGAAAAGAATGGAACTGTAATAAAGGTAACAGATGGACACACTAAATACTGAAAAAAATGATACTTAGTTGTTGAGGCTTCTTTCTGTTAAAGACGTGCTCTGCTTTTGTGCTTGACACTGAAAAATCAACTTGCACTAAATGACTTCTCTGTGAATGTAATAAACAAAAGGTGGTCTCTGACTTTTTGACAGTACTGGAAGTACATAATGACCAGACATAACATACTGTGTCATGCCTGTCAGGTAAACTGTACCCTGTAAGTCATACTTAAATGCCCCTACCTTATGATATACAATTAAAGAATTTAACACAATCATTATTTGATGGCAAGAGCTCAAACCTTCTAACATCACCTCTCTCTACCTTTTAGAAAGCCTCTCTTATGCAAAACACAGCGAGAGCTTTTTTATTTTTTTACAATCCGTACTTTGGATTCTTTAAATTCATCTGGTTCAAGAGTGATTGAGGTCAGGCTTGTCTTCTATTTAGGCATTTATTTGTCTCACACAACGTTCACGGTCTCAGCAAAGGTTATGAAACTAACCATAACAGGCAATAGCTGTCGTACTGAATGTCATTTCTTCTGGCATGTTTTTAAATCAGTCAAGAACGATTATGATAAAGCGCCCTTGCTGTGATTTGAATTAGCACTCTGAAAACAATATTAGGCTAATCTGCAAAACAAGTAGACTGTTTAAAAGCTCTTACTCTTCACTTGTCACAGAGCATTACTTGAACGCTGATGAAATTCTCCCTCACTGCAGATTATTTCAGATGGATTTAAGTTATGCTAACATTCTAATATTCTCAGATAATGTACATAAATATCTGTGTGCTTTGTTTTTTCTGTACATTTCCTCAGAGTACAGTGCCAGATGCAGATACCATTTTTATATTTTATAAACAAATAAATAAATATTAGAGAGACACCAGATAAACATAACTAAATGATTCACCCCATAGCACATGTAGATGTACAGTTATACATATACTATGATTAAAGTGTCTAAAA